GAGGGCCTAGTTATGTATCCCTTTTTGTTCTCTTCCCCCATGTTACTTAACTGAAGCAAACCATCATCATTACTCACCAATTACTCTAAATTAAAACCCCTAATTACCTGCTTCCGTTACAATTTCCAGGCGAACGTACAGCTCCCCTTCCGCCGCTCTTTTCCACTTTCCCCTCCGGCCGATCTCCCCAGAGACATCGATACCACTTCTTCCTTTCGCTTGGGCCTCAAGCCCATTCCCTCACTCTCTCTTTCGGCCGTCTTTCTATTGGGCCCTTTTTGTTTTTGTTTTCCTGCTGGTGAAAATGAGTGGGAAAGATGATTATAATAATAATAATCATAAGTTGTTGCTGCTGATGGGGAACGATGGATGGTGGTGATTATGATGATGATGATGATGATATTATTATTATTATTATTATTATTATTCCTCGGTTGAAATCCTTCGTACATAATCGTCGATACAACCGTTCGGTCGAACATAGACCTAAATGTTGGGGTGTTACAGGAGTAATCTGAGCATGCCACAGAAGATAGTTGGTCGGGGTGAGCTTGACGGACAGTTGAGGATTGAGCGGAAGAGACAGGGAAGACACCAGCAGGGAATTGGAATTAGTAGAGGTAGAGGTAGATGAAACAGAGGATGAATCGGTAGCCATTATGCAAAAGAAGGAAAGAAGAAGAGACGAAAGAAAAAGGTAGGAGAGGATAATAGAATTGGCTCATTAGAGTACTTTGACGCTCTGATACCATAAATGAAATAACAACTTGAGTTTTCTATTATTGATGTTTAGTTTTTATAATACAAAGGAATCTGTTTGTGCAGCGGAAATCAAGTAACAAAAAGAGCAAAGAGAGGAGTTCAGCAACGGTCCACTACTGACCACTATCAACAGTCTTAACAATATTGGAGAGACTTGTGGAACAATCTGCTCATTATCACAAATGTGGTGGTGCGATCTGGTTACAATGATGATTTACGACGATGGTTCTAGCTGAAAAAAGGGTTTTGTCATACACCAAGATTCGCCCGCCAGTATTGAATTTGCTGGTGTTGAACGAGGATGAACAATCGATTGGCGTGACTTCCACCAATCTATTACAGATGATGTATAGGCGAGGTAAACATGGCAAGGAGTTAGGTTTCAACCGGTAGGGGTGGGCAACGACGAGATACCTGTCCCGTTTGAAATGGGTTCCCAACCCCATTTGTAGAGTAAACTTCATCCCATCTCCCAAACCTGTATGGGTTAATGGGTACGCATTATTTGTACGGGACTAATAACGGGTTCTCAAACTACTCGTATATACCCATCCAAATGGTGGTAGAACCTGAGAACCCGGGCCTTGAACATGGATTGGAGCCGGCGATTCGAGCGAGTGATCAGTCGGACGGGGCCGGCGACAATGGAAACGCAACAGGGGAGCGACGGCTGATAGAAGAAAGGTGAAGAGTGAGAAGAAAGGCGTTGGATAGGATCAGGGGAAGCGGGGTGGGAGAATGATAGTGAGTCAGAAGAAGAAGAGAAAGTGCGCAGGTTAGGAAGAGAGAACACGAGAGGTGCACGGGAGGCAACAAGGACGGACAATAGTAAAGAGTAGTGGAGGAACAATTGTTATTGGTGGAGTGGCCAAGCTGCTACGGAAGAGAGGTTTTACTTGTTCTTGGTATCTTCTTGTTTTCTCATATAGTGGTAGAAGTTGCAGTCTTGCTAGGTCGGACTCAGAGATGAGCTGGGCTAGGTAGGTAGGGGTTCAGTCGGTCGGTTTCAGTTTAACCGAAAACTCGATTATCGGTTAAACCGAGCCACTCCTCCCTAGTGCCGACTACCGATCGTGGGAGACGCCACGACTAGCCGACCGGTCAGTTTTTGGTTTTTGGTTCGCTTATCTGTGGTAGCCGGAATTATGCCTGGCGGTTCGGAATTGGGGAGGGAGACAGCCGGTGGCTGCCGAAGTGGAAGAGGGAGGTCGCCGAGCACTGGCCGAGGCTGCGGAAGCATCGTGCCGGGTCGGTGAAGTCGCGGTCGAGGCAACGGGCATCGCGCGGGGTGGCGGGAGTGAGGGCGTACGAGCGCAGGCGTGGCTGGTGGCGTGCAGTGTGACGGCGGAGGCAGATAGGGACGGGCCGACGACGATCTGGTGGTATGGGATGAGTGACGACGCAGGAGAGGAGGATGGTTAATTGGGGAAGGAAGGGAATATTAATTGGGGAAGGAAGGTTAATTGCGGCGCAGGAACGGAGCAGGGTTAATTGGGGAAGGAAGAGAAGGTTAATTGGAGAAGGAAGAGAAGATGAATTAGAGAAGGAAGGTGAATTGCAGAGGCGCAGAGATAGGAAGGGGTTAATTGGTTTTGGCAATTAGGTTTGATTTAGCCAGACGGGGAAGGAAGGGAAGGTTAATTGGGGTTCGGTTGGAGGTCGGTTAGTCAGGTAACCGCGGTTAACCACCTCCGGTTACTCGGCTAACCGTTCCCTCCTTACCCCAGCCGAACACCGACCGCTACAAATGGGCAACGATTTTCGGTACCGACTAATCGACTGGTTTCAGTTAAAACCGACGGTTAGCCGGTAACCGGAAACTGTTTGGCCAGCCCTATAGGTAGGGGTGGGACTGGAGTTGGGATCGGGTTGGGCTGGGCTTTGGGTTGGTTATATATTGTCTATTGTATAGTGAATTTTTTTTGCTAATGGGCATTACGGGTACTCGTACTAACCAAAAAAATATTGACGGGTAACCCGTGGGTACCCAATGTAGAATCATTGATCCCACGTCTCATACCATAAAAAAATTACGGGTATTTGATTGCCCGTAACCCTAAGAAAACGGAACGTGGTGTGTGTATATTGTATTCATGCTCATTAAGTCCTAATCATTACATATACTCAAATACTCGTTGCCCACCCCTATCAACCGAGGAATTTTCTGGCGGAATCGTCGACGTCGAGTCAATGTAAGTAAATGGCGGCCAGTTCTTCTGCAAGTACGAAAGCAATCCCAACCCCATGAAATCTAGCTCCATAGCTCAGCGATCGTTAGAATTAGATTTCATCCCTGGAAGTTTCACTTGCTGCGGCGACAGCTTTGGTAATGAGGGGGAAGGATTTGGAATCCGCTTCCGTTTCAATTGCACGACGGTTAGTTTCGGGGAAGGGTTAGATTTTAATTTTGGATTATAATTAAATTTTCTAATTATTTATTTTAATTTATTTTATAATGAGTTGGAAATTATAAAAGATGTAGTGTTTTATTTTTTAATTGTCGCATCATTCATTTAACGATCAACTATCAAAATTGACTACCACATCACAAAAATTTAACGGAGATTAATGACAAATTTGAACGGTTTAACAAATTTGAATAGATTAGTAACTAGCTTTAACCCTGCCCTTTGGGCAGGTAGTCTTTATATATATTTTTTGTAGTATCCCTCATAAATTTTTGGCAACATGTAAAATAGGCACTTCTAAAAAAATATATTAAATAATTTAATGTTATTGATTGGGGTAATTCTTACTTCTTAGTTATGGACGTAGAGTTCACATCGTCAAGTTTATAATAACTTGAGTAGTAGTAAGTTTTTGTACAGGCTCGTATTGAGCCTTTATGATTCAATACTAAAAATTTAGTTAATCAATAACATTTTGCTTTAAATGCCTCTATTTTTGTATAAAAAATTCCATTATTTGTTGAATTGTCTTATATACTCATCTTTTTACCATACACCTTAATTGCAAGGGGAAAAAACCAAAACATCGTTTCGTACTTTTCTCGATAAAATGTTTTAATCTTTCACTTGATCACTCATCTTAATAACTTTACTTCGATGATTATATCATAATTTTACCAAAGCCCGAATAAATGATGAAAAATATATAAGAATATCTATTAAAATCCTCAATATAGGAAAACGCATTTGGAATAAATTAGATTTGCCTCAAATCTCTACTCAAAACAATTCGTCCGAACATAAGAATACAACACCTTCAAAGCATCACTTCAATGAAAAGCAAAAGGCTAATCTCATGAAAGCCGCTGCTTGTCAAGATAGCAATAAAATGTTAATTTCTCCCATGCTTAGCATTAAGGAAAAGGAAAAGAACTCAGATCAAGAGATTAAGGGGGAATATATAAAGAAAGCGTCAAAGACAAACTGCTAGCGGCAACAACGAACCTTAACTGTTGGGTAGTGAAGAAGCAACGGGTACAATAATCATTATGCCACAAAACAGTGTTCAGGCCAACGATTATTGAGCAACCGAGAAATAAGAGAGGAAAACAACTAAATGATGCACATGGAAGTATTGTATTTGAAGTGCGCTAACAAAGGCAGCAGTGAAATCGACGTTGCAGATGAGTTGTAATAAGGCTAAATGTACCTGAATCAGATGGTGTTCCACTGTTAGGCGTGCAAATATATATGAGGAGCCAATACCAACAATACGGGTCCGACACATTGTAAGAAAGAAGAATGAACAAAGATGAACTTTATGACTGTCAGGCGTCATGCCTAGAAACCCCAATGACGGAATCTGGATAAACAAAATCAATCGAATAGAATAGAACAGAACAGAAGTTGGATTCGGAGGTACATTTGTCGGGTCTGAATTGCGGCCTCTGACTAAAGGAGAATTCGCCACAGAATTGGGTGGCGAAATTGACGGAATTGGACTGCCACGGGCTCCACGTAGTAGAGGAGTCGGATCATCGGTGGCGGGATTTGAACCAGTGGCCACGAATTGACGGAGTTCTTGAGGGGACCCGATCGTGCCGGCAACTGAGTGCTCGTGTGAGAAAAATCAGCGCCGGAAGGAGGATATGGAGAATAACGGTTATTATAAAGTCTTTGTCGTTGTGGGAAAGAGGAGAAGGAACCGCCGTTGTGGTGGATTATTAGGTTTTGCTTCCGGAATTAAACACACGGCCGAATCGGTATCCAAAAAAGAAGAAAGGGTTGCTGACGTGGATAGCTTTGGCTTTCAGTATGGATTACGTGGCATAGGGCCAAATCTTAAAGCCCTTTAATATTTTTTATAGATAGATAGATAGATCCAAACCCTCTTTGCAATTTACCCAATAAAAAATTAAAAGGATATTTGCTCACGGTGATTGTAGCACGACGGCATCAGAATCGGATTCACCGAGTTCAATAGAACACGGTCCACGCGGTGGGAAACCGGTTTCGTACTTCTTAAGCGAACTTCGTTTCTTCTATTCTGAATTCTGATTCCCGCGGTGTAGTTTATCCAACAAGCAATAGGGGAGTTGTCTTCAAGCTCCTGAATCGCAGAGCCATTTCCATATCTTGAGTTTTTCTGCTCTCCCCCCACCGATGGATAATTCTGAGGCTCCTCCACCTTCCGCCATGCGAGATCGCAGATCCGACGCTCTGGGCAGTCTCCGAGTCCTTCCAGACGAAATCATCTCTGCTATTCTGGAAAACCTCACTACCAGAGACGTTGCTCGTCTCGCTTGTTTAAGCAGGTTCGTTTTTTCTTCCTGCTACCTACTATCCCTAGCACTTGTTATCTTCTGTTCGTAGCCGTAGTTTCAGTTATCCGGCCAGTTAATTGAATTCCTGGTGGATGTTCATTTTAGGTTGCCTAACATTTGGTTCAGTTGGGCATCTGTAATTCTGCATTGTGCGTCCCTATTATGTGTTTCCTTCTATGTTATCACAATGGATTTTGTTGATTGATGGAACAGTGTGATGTACATTTTCTGTAATGAAGAACCACTATGGATGGATCTGTGCCTAAGAATATGCAGAGGTCCGCTACAATACAAAGGTTCCTGGAAGAAGACCACTTTGCATTTGTACGTACCGATCACTCAGTGCTTCACCTTTTTCTGAATTATTGTCGCTGGTGCAGCGCGACTGAAGTTTGCCTTGTGATTTTTTTGGTGTAACCAGAGAGAATGTACCAGATAAATATATAGAAAACAGTGGCAGGCCAATGTCTTTTGACGGTAAAGTACTTTTGGGCTCTTGTTTAAGCGTTCTTTCTTGTGGTTATTGAATGTTGGGTCCTTAGAAGTTTGTGCGACTTGCTTCTTGTGTTGTGCAATTAGCTCCTGGATGTTTGCTTAGCTTGAGCTGATTTTTATACACATGCAGGGTTCAACTCATTGTTTTTGTATAGAAGATTATATAGATGCTATACAACATTGGATGGGTTTAATTTTGATGGGGGAAATGTGGAAAGAAAGATGGACATTTCACCGGGAGAGTTTCGTCATCAGTATGACGGGAAGAAACCGGTATGGTCAACAGAATTTTTCCTCAAATTCCGTTAGCCATGTTATGATTTAGTTTTGCGTTGAAGTTTACTTGTTGCATCTCAGTTGTTCTTCCTGCTCTGGTTCAAATTTTCTTCTACTTGGTATGTCTCATGGTGTAATCTGTATGTCTAGGTTTTGCTGTTAGGATTAACTGATAGTTGGCCAGCAAGGAGTTCATGGACAATTGATCAGTTAACGGCGAAATATGGGGATAAATCTTTTAGGATATCCCAGAGGAGCACTCGCAAAATCTCAATGGAATTAAAGGATTATGTGTCTTACATGAATCTTCAACACGATGAGGATCCCTTGTATATTTTTGATGATAAGGTACTTTGCAATTGTGTTTAATCTTCGATTTATTTCCTTGGGCAGCATTTTTGGCTTTCTGTGGATATGTGCAATTACTTTGTATCCTCTTCATGCAGTTTGGTGAAACAGTCCCCAGCTTGTTGAAGGATTACAGTGTGCCTCAGCTTTTCAACGAAGACTATTTTGAAGTCTTAGATCGAGAGCAGAGACCTCCATTTAGATGGTTTATTGTAGGCCCAGAGAGGTCCGGTGCGTCTTGGCATGTTGACCCCGCACTTACAAGTGCCTGGAATACTCTTCTATGTGGCCGGAAGAGGTAATCTTTATCTCAGATGGTGTGTGTATGCAGATACATTCGTGATTTTCTGATGTATGGGCTACATGCTTAGAATGATGTCCTTCTGTTTAATCTCATCCCAGAAAATTTATTCTATTAACATATTACACAAGACAACATTGCTTCATGTTTGCTGAGTTGTGGTTGTTATGTGATCTGTTGGATGAGCTTGGTATGTGTTGAAGTTGGGAATTGATATCTTCCTCTACATATGTATGTGGTTAGATATTCTTTTTATAGCTATGCCTCTTAAGCAAGCTTTACTGGCTTATGCTTGCTCTGGCACAGAGCACTAGGCTTATTGTTTGCTCATTCAGCCCTGGTTTATGGTGTTCTGTTTCGGATTGCTGTTGAAACTAGGTAGAATGAATCACGAAACTAGAGTTTCTGCTGCAGGGAATTGTTAGTTGGGAACGTTACAATTATGATTTCAGTAGCAAGATGGAAGAACCATCAGAGCAGTCGGGAATAATGCCCTTCTATTGATGATTGCTCTAGCTAAACATTGGAGAAGTTCTCATAGAAATTTTTCTCCGGATATGATTGCAGCCTTTTTTTATAGAAGATGATTACAGCCACAAAATGAATTCCGCTCCGACATAGTAAGAAATTCTAGTTAGAACACTTCAATGTAACATTTCTTAACTACATAAGGAAAGTAATACTTCTAGAAAAGTATTCCCTTCTCCAACTGCGAAAGGATTTTTGTACGGGACCATTTTTTTAGTTTTCCGCACCTTATGATTAGCTATTTAGCTTCTTTGTGGTGTTCTCCACGATCTAGCAATTTTCCCAGTCACCGTATGCACGAGGTGCTGTGACTGGTTGTCCATTATTGCTACTATGGTTTTCATGCTTTCTGGCAACCTGTTGACATCCTTTCCATTTCGATGGTTTCTATGTTTAGAAGTTGACCTGGAAGCCTTTAGCAGCTAGGAAGATTGGACCCTTTTCTCAGATCAGAAGGTGTTGTTTAGGGCAATTGAGGTATCAGCGTTGTGGCCTGAGTTTTCATGGGGGTAGCATTGATTGACTCGGGATTTAGGAAAGACTACTTGTTTGCATTTTATATGACTTTGTATATATATTACAGCATTTTGTCAGTTTTAGTTAGTTGATTCTGATAATATTCTAGAGCCAAAATAAAGGTACATTCAGCTCGCCACACATCCTGAGCCTATTCATCCTCTTGTTTTATAATAATTTTATTGATATAGCTATCTGTGCTCTGGATCCTTCTCTCAAGTTATTTTGGCAATTCATATCAAGCTCCATAAGCTTGTCGCTTAGGATGCTGCTTAAACACCAAAGCGGTTCAAAATTCTTCAGATGATGTATCGGGACTGGGATCACAGTTTGCTGTATTTGTCCATCTAGTTCAACATGCCAGTGTCATGGTTCAATCTTGTATGTGCAGGTGGGCTTTGTATCCTCCTGGAAGGGTCCCTCTAGGTGTCACAGTTCATGTAAATGAAGAGGATGGTGATGTTAATATTGACACGCCATCATCACTGCAGGTATCTCTAAAAGAGTCTTGGTGTGTTGTAATCTTTTCATGCAGTTGTTCTCACTAGTCCTTTCCTGTTTTCACAGTGGTGGCTGGATTTCTATCCACTTCTTGCCGATGAAGACAAACCGATTGAGTGCACCCAATTACCAGGGGAGACAATCTTCGTTCCAAGTGGATGGTGGCATTGTGTTCTAAATCTTGAAACAACAATCGCTGTCACTCAAAATTTTGTGAATTCTGTAAACTTTGAGTATGTATGCCTTGACCTGACGCCTGGTTATCACCACAAAGGAGTATGCCGTGCTGGATTCCTGGCAATTGATAAAGCCAGTCTTGATGGAGCCCAAACAAGTTGTGTCAGTGATGAAGCTGAACAAAGTTACCCAGATCTAACTAGAAAAGAAAAGAGGCTCAAGATTAAAGAACACAAAGAAGAGTCAGAGTGTGATAAAACTACAAATGGGGACTCTGGAAGTCATGATCTTTGGAGACAAGAATTCTCATATGATATAGAATTCTTGGTCAGTTTTTTGGATAAAGATAGAGACCACTACAATTCTCCATGGAGCCTTGGCAATTGCATTGGACAACGAGAAATGCGTGAATGGTTATATAAACTTTGGATTGGAAAACCAGGGGCAAGGGACCTCATATGGAAGGTAGTTTGTCAAAATTAACTCACTAATGGTCTCTTTCTCTATGTTTATAGCATTTGTTTGACATATAGTCTGCCAGTAAGCCAATAGAATATAAAGTGTTCTTAGGGTGTTTGAATGTATATTTCAGTCTCAGGGGCATGCCATTTTGTACTCCTTTTGGTTTCCCACTAGGGGCATCATTATTGTTTAAGTTATAGTAATCTGATTTCCTCCTAGCTTTGTATCAGCTTCAGAAGGTGAGTACTTGAACACCTTCGCAGTTAATTGATAGCTTAAGAAATTTATCCTATCATCTTTATGGTATCTGACAACCGTAGTTAAACCTGCTATTTATTAATGGAAACGGGAATACTTGTTTATGAGGAATTTGTAAGGAAAATTTTCTCTTGCTGGTTGGCCTTTTCTTTTGTCATCTAATTTTTTTTTTCCCTTGAAATAATATTAGGGGGCATGTCTTGCGCTGAATGCAGAGAAATGGTTCCATTGCCTTGTAGCAGTTTGCAATTTCCTGAACTTGACTTCTCCAACAGCTGATGAGAGACTTCCTGTGGGAACTGGAAGTAATCCAGTAAGTTCATGCCTAAATTTGTTTGATGGTACAAGAGTTGCCACAACATCCAGCCTAACTCCCTGTTTCTAGCATCTTGTAGCTTCCTTTGAGATTGGTTTTCCGACTCGGAGATGCTCTTCCTTGCACTTATCATACGTGTTTTCTTTCTTTGGAAGTGTATGTAGAATAAATAATCTTTGAGCAATTAATGCAAGTTTAATGGTGCAGTTGATGAAGGATAACTTGATCATCTTCAGAAATGAACTATCTTGGATAGTTTAACTAAGAAATCTGTATCAGGGCTTCTGCTGGAAATTCAAATTTAAAGAAAAAATGTCTTGATAATTTGAGCGGAAGGTGCAAATGAATGTTTTCATGATGATGCAACTTTGGACCTTGTGATAAATTTTGGGGTGGCATCAATAACTGGGTCTTACTCCATGTCCTTGTAACTTATAGTCGAATCTCTTAAGTTTTGATGTGAGAACACACAAGTTATCTTTATTTGTCATTTTAAATTTCTTGACTGAGCCTTTGTTTATTTTATGATAGGTATATCTCCTCCCTGACTGTGTAGTTAAAATATTTGTCGAAGGAGGACTGGAAACTTCAATGTATGGGTTGGGAACTGAGGTATGCTTTTCCCCATCCATGTTTGTGCTGCTCAGTTCCTTCTACATGCATCAGTTCTTAGTTTCTTTTCTTGTTTGTTTACAGCTTCAGTTTTACAGTTTGCTGCATAAAGTAAGCTCACCTCTTGAGTGTTTTGTACCTGAAGTTTTGGCGAGTGGAATTGTTTATTTTGAGAAGGGAAGTCATAAAATTGTGCCCTGGAATGGTAAAGGAGTTCCAAAGATTAACAACATGTCCACACTGATGTCAGCTGTGCGTGAAGAAGATGAGTTCCCTTTTGGTGTGTGGAGTAAGAATATGTTTGAATTGAGTAGGGCCAATATGCTAAGCAATGAATCAGCGAATGCAATAACTGGATCCACAAAGATATGGCCCTTCATAGTAACTAAGAGATGCAAAGGGAAGATATTTGCTGAACTGTAAGTTTTCCTACTTGTCATAAACGTTATGGTCTCTTGCCTCCAGTAATTTGATGATACCCGAATCAAGATCAGAGATGTAATCCCAATTGATGAATTATTGTTTTTTTTCTTTTGGCAGAAGAGACACATTGTCTTGGGAAGAGGCTCTAAACCTTGCATCCTTCTTAGGAGAGCAGCTACAGAACCTTCACCTCCTTCCTTGCCCTCCTATTAACAAATGTACTTTGCCAGAAACTCATCACTCGACAGAAGGGGCCTTAGCAAATTGGGACGGGGTTGATACTTCTGTAAAGCTAGATTATTCTGCAGAGACAGAGATCTTAACAAAGACACTATCTGTGAAGAAGAAGAATGTCAAAGCTAGCTTAACAACTTGGTAGACAGCTTTTCTATCACTTTCAGTTTGGGTTTCTTGCAGTTCAAAGTTTGTGCATTAAGACAACTTAATCAAGGAGCAAGTTTCCATCATGCCTGTGTATGAGACCTTGTTTAAGAGTCCACTGGAAGTTCTACCCATATGCTCTGATATGTTCACTTACCACTATTGCAGGGGAGATCCAATTCCTAGTTCACTGATAGAAAAAGTAGATGACTATTTGCCACAAGATTTTTCCAATTTTTTCCCCACATGCCAGGTTTCTCTTTCTTAACAGATTTCAGTACAATTTATTTTTTCATGTTATTCCCAAATCACATTAGTGCTGCCTTTTTCTGCCAATTTGCAATAGCTTGAGGTTCTTCTTGACACATTCTCTCTCTGTTTCATCCAGGATGAAACTGGATGGGATGGAGTCTGTAAACCTTTCTCCTGGATACATGCAGACATTATGGATGACAATGTTCATATGGAATCAACTACAGCTGGCCTCGATGGAAATTCTGCAGATAGTTCACAGGAAAACTCCAGCTCTGTGAACGGCTGCAAGGATGGAGGATTTCGGACCTGCTGGCATCCTGGCCACATTCTGGATTTTAGTAATCTTAAATGTGGTTAGATTTCTTATTTAACTTTTACTCCATTATCCTACTGCAATAGTTCTGATGAGTATTGGTCATTCTTGCACTTTCTAAACTTTGCATAGCTTGTCGTTGATCTTGTAGCTGGGCAAAATTGAAGTTTGTGCAATAGTTCTGATTAGTATTAGAAATTTGATCATAGCTGGGGAAAATCGAAGTTTGCATCTGTATTTTTTTGCTCAACATCAAGACGAGAAGTTTCTCAAATCCTCGAGATAATCGTCGACTACTCTAAAACATTGGCTACGAGTTGATATGCCTAGGACTCAACTTCTAGAGATGAAATGATCTTTATCCTTATAAGTGAAAGAGGATTAAGCTAAAGATGTGGCTGGAAGTTGTCTTTTCGCCATAACCAATGAGATCGATCATGGTGCTCATCTGAGAGTCTTAAGATATGACGCTTCATTACTTCTTACTGAATCTCTACCTGTTGACAGGCGAGCGCATCTTGGATATCATACCAATCTACTTGGATATCTTTAGAGGTGATTCAAGTCTCCTTAAGGTACTATTGGATCGCTACAAGCTACCTTTGCAGATGAAACGGAGCAGTGTAACTATCGAGGAGAAGTTTGGACGACTTTCTTACCGTGCTATGTAAGTGAAACTAGAGGCACAAGAAATGCATGCTGTTTTATGTGTTTGTCTAGAAAAACGGTCATATTTCTGCAATTTCAGCCATTCAAATGTGTATGTAGTGATGTCTTGATGAGCATACAAGCATATTTATGTCTTTGGTCCAAAATTGATTGGTGTATGTTCACTCAAGCGGAACAAATATGTGATTGATTAACTCATCCAGTTGCACTTTTAGGAAGTATTAGCTATTTCAAGCCAAAGGTGAACATTCTAGCGTCACTAGGTACCTTGCATTTTGTGTAACAAGGCACATTGTATGATAACTAGTAGTCTAGTACGTAGACGAGGCATCTGACTGAATGGAAGTCCTCTCATGACCATTTGAGGCATCTCTGATCTTGTTTATTGTACTTATTATAACAGGTGTTACTGTATATTGAACGAAGAAAATATACTGGGGGCAATTTTCAGCATGTGGAAGGAACTCAGAGCAGCAAAATCCTGGGAAGAAGTTGAGTTGGCAGTCTGGGGAGTGCTGAATGACAACGAGGCTGTTTCGTAAATGACCATGTCGCTGGAACTGCTTTTGCAGCCATCTCCGATATATATTTCTGTTAGAAACACGTTTTCTAAGGAAAACGGGTTTCTATATCATCATTATCATTATCGTTATTATTAGCTTTATTTAAATATGGTTAGTAGTCTTTTAGTAGAATTAGGTTTAGTATTAGGTTTTTCCAGTCTTTCATTATAAATATGTACTTTGCGTTTTATTCAGGTAGTCAAGAAAGAATTATCAAATAATCTCCTAAACCCTAATCTCTCCCTATCCTCTCAATTCTCGATCCCTATCCCTCCAAGGCCTCGGCCGATTCTCTATTCTATTCTTCTTCTTCCCCAAATCCCCAATCTCAATCCCTAATTCTATTCGTATAAATCCTAATCCCCAAATATCCAAATCCCGTTAGAAACTTTGTTTTTAACATTTGGTATCAGAGCCCGGTTACGAGAGTGAGTTCTTCACAACTCTAAACCAGGGACGACTACATCTTAACCCATAATCACAATGAGTTCGTCAAAGCTCTTTGATCAAGAGTGGTTTCGACTGCAGGAGCTGCAGCATCAAGCCCTTGACATACGTTATCGGGAGGTGCGTAGGAGGTGTGCGACGTTAACAGAGGAGGCTGCGACCGACGGACGCGTGTGGCCATTAGCAGGGCAGTTCGTGCGAACCATAGACTCGCATCGACAAGCCAAACCAACACCATCAATCACCACGGTAACGTCTGCAACGCCATCATCGATTCATCGCCAAACCAACAACATTGATGCCACCAAACTGTCTTCACCACCGCCCAAAGCTGCATCCAGATCTGTTCGAATTCCACAGACCCCGCGAATCGATGGCTGGAAGTTTAGAAAGAAAGAATCGGTAGAAGACTTGCAGCCGAAGACGAAGGCGATGGTCCGCAGGGTGGTTTCGCCTGCATCCCCAATCGCGCAAATAGAACAACAATCTGACAAGACGTTGTCGCCGGGAAAAGAATTGGAGTCCATGCTGGGCGATCAAAAAAAGGAATTATCAGGAAAAATGATTGTTACGGTGGATCGGGTCAAAGGGTTGGTGAGGGCGACGTCGACCAAGGAGGGGAAGAGGCGGAAGCCGAGGCCAACAGCGGACCGACTGCCTCCTAGCCGGGGGCGCTGTTCGTTGTCGAAGAAGAAGAAGGGGAGCCCGTCGCCGGAACCCCGAATCGGGACAATACAGCAAGGGTGGGCGGGTTCCTTCACCTCGTTGACCAGAAGAGAGGAGGCGCAGCGAACACCGGTAGTCCCGCTACGGGCGACGTACGGGAGTGCTTCGAGCTGGGTTGACGACCAGCTGGCGATTCGACTGCCGCCGGACAAGGAGGCTCATCGAGCGATGGGGGCTCCAGGAGTGGCGTCGATCGACGCGAGGGCAAGGGCGAGGGCGAGACGGGAGCTTGGTGTGCCGCCTTGCCGTTGGGCGAACTTCTCGTCGCCGAAACCTAGAGCGCCAAAGAAGAAACCACCAACGAAGAGGAAGAAAGAAGCGCAGGGTCGCCGGAGTTCCTTAACGAAGTCGAGAATCAGGCCAATGGCGCCGCGATGGGTGATGTCATCGTTGCCAGAAAGAAAGATGAGTAGGCCAGAAGCTGATGCAACTCTTAACCGCCGGCGAGACTGCTCGTCGAGAGAAAGGAAGAAGAAGGGCGAGGAGGAGGGCGGCGAAAAGCTCCAAATCGCGCGCGGAACGCGGCGATTGGCGACGGGTTCGGTTGCGCCGCCGAACATCGAGGTGAGGTGGCCGGAATCGGGCTGGGATCGTCGTCGCCTGGAGGAAGAAACGGCGGTGATGGTGATGAAGATGGCGGGCGGCGCGTCGAAGAAGAAGGGCGAGGAGGAGGGCGGCGATCTTCTTTCGCCAACAACCCTAGGCCCCGTTGCACAGTGGCCAGGCCAGCGGGCCGAAACCGTGGGCCGAGCTGCTGATCGGGTCGCCGGAGCGGGTCGGGCCGTCTCCTCTGACGGACCAGAGCTAGGGTTTGTAACCCTTGGGCTCGTCTTGGGCGTGGCCACAGAACTGGATGGGCCGAGTCGAGCGAGCCCAGTTATTAAGGAGGGTAATCTAAACCTTGATCAGGGGCGGGCCAGGATGAAGAAGCTTGATGGGCTTAATTCGGGCCAGATGAATAAAGTGAGTGGGCCACCAATGTGCTCTCTTGTTGGGTTATTTTTGCAGGGCCAAAACATGAAGGAAGACAGAGGTGGGCTCACTGGGGGAGAACGTGAACTTTTAGCAGGCTTAAATCCAACCTCCCTTGGAAGAGACAAGGGTCCAAAAGAGCTTGCTTTCCCTACCAAGCACTTGGGAAAATCAATAACGCAATTCATTGAAGATTTCAAGGTGGGTAATGAAGATATGCTCAAGAAAGAACAACTCTCTGACTCTTACTTTGTGAAATTTGAGAAGGAGGTTGGGGAGTCGTTTGGACATGGTTGTGACATGAGCCAAGTGGGTAAAGGAGAAGCAACGAAAGCCGAAGTTGTTGGTGTTAGATGCGTTCAAGTCGTGGAGCACGATTGGAAGAAAAGGAAGCGCAAGAAATGGAGGAGGCAAGACACGAATTGCATGGTAGACGTGAAGAAATGGGTCGAGATTATCAACCTTGAGGGCAAGGTTGATCTCAAGGGGGATGGGATGTTAGAAACACGTTTTCTAAGGAAAACGGGTTTCTATATCATCATTATCATTATCGTTATTATTAGCTTTATTTAAATATGGTTAGTAGTCTTTTAGTAGAATTAGGTTTAGTATTAGGTTTTTCCAGTCTTTCATTATAAATATGTACTTTGCGTTTTATTCAGGTAGTCAAGAAAGAATTATCAAATAATCTCCTAAACCCTAATCTCTCCCTATCCTCTCAATTCTCGATCCCTATCCCTCCAAGGCCTCGGCCGATTCTCTATTCTATTCTTCTTCTTCCCCAAATCCCCAATCTCAATCCCTAATTCTATTCGTATAAACCCTAATCCCCAAATATCCAAATCCCGTTAGAAACTTTGTTTCTAACAATTTCCTACCCATCCCTCTTGAAAATGAGATCTGTCTGTGTTTTTCAGATGACCAGGTGGATGTATTTGATGATGATGTTTTTATAGAACGAGTAATGAAGACGTGAGGAGTTTACAAAGTGATTGATTTCTTAGCAATCTCAAACATAAACGAGCAATTTTGCTATTAACCCCAGTTTTGGGAAGGACATACTCCATTGAGTTTCTCAATAACATTTTCCAGAAAATAAGAGCAGGTCAATAAATACCATTGACAACAAACTAACATACTACCACTTGAGACACTTATATTGCTAGTATCCATGGGTTTATGACGCAAGAACTTCTACAAGGGACATTATGCCATTTTCTAGGTTTCCACAGATAGCACAGATTATAAAGTTTACACAAAACATAGCACAATTGACCTAGCAAGCAAAGCTATAATCAATCACATACTGCTAAGGGGATGGAGGCCAACCATACAATCCAGCATCCTGAATCCCTTCATAGAACCTGACCTCCAACTCCTCCAGCCTGCCTTCATCATCATCCCACATTTCATCATAACTCTCATAATCATAACCCCCCATCTCACCGTGTACGAATGCCCACGCCAGGTCCTCCTCCGAAGAATCCGAGAACTCTAAGCACTCGTCCTCCTCCGAGTTATTCATCTGGTAATAGTCCATCACGAGCGGACCCAACACCTTCAGTTTCGGGAATTTCTCAAGCAGGAACTTGTCGTCGAGCTCCACGTCCCAACACCCTCTCAAATCAATGTGCACCAGACCGGTGCAGGTTGATAAGATCCTCAGAATGTTCTCGGTGCTGACCTGGTGGTACGCCATCTCCAAGTGCTTTAGGTTGGGCATCGTGGTGGCGATCGCATGGGCCTCGTCTTCTTGCGCCTCCTTATCAGCTTTGTCCAGTGGATGCATGTTCCGGAAAAGTACCTCAAGGTGTTTACACTTGTTTCCAACAAGCTCGAGGGCACGAGCATCAATTTTGCTGCAGTAGCTCAAGTCCAGGAAAGTGAGATTTGAGAGCTTTCCAGACATCTGTTCGATTATGGAGCCACTTATCGCGCTTCTTGGCAGCTTAAGTGTCTGAAGGGAACCGGCACTAGCAGCAGAAAACAACGAGACAAGGGGTAAATAAAAGCCTATTATATGAAAGTATGGGCAGGAAGGACTAGAATGCATCCCTGAATTTCAATTGTATATAATCAAGCATCAAGGTTGTCTACAAACGTTCTTTTGTAACATTTACCAAACCATATGTTCAATTTACAAACTCGCTGATAAAACTGTATACAAACTACAATGATGCACATTATATGCAATCATAAGCTGTGGTGCATACAGAAACTGATAGATGAACTATACTATCAAAATTGAGGACTTACTGATCAGCAAGAAAAGGGAACATCTCGTCGTTGCGTAGTCTGGTGACAGAGAGCTTGCGGAGGGAACCAGAGCTTCGAGTGATCAGCATTTGGAGCATACGATCGAGTTGTTCCGGCAAGCATACTTCACTCCATTCTTCAATGTCGACCTCCTGCCAACAATAGGGACCTAAAACTGCCCTGCTCCATGATTTGCATACCATGGGGACTACTGTCAATATATCTCGTAAACACAACTTGCTGAAGATGAGACCAAGGGCATCTGGTATCAGCTCGTCCCACGGCCTGTAATCACTTCCTTCCTCCATGGACAAACAAATACGCTCTACATTCCAAAGAAACCCCACAAAAGAATTCAGCTTTAGGGGAAATGTTCAGAAGAAACGCAACAACTCGAATGGTAAAGAAAAGTGGGAAATCTACAGCGCAGATCTTATAACTCCACTCAGATTCAAACCGCATTTCCCTTCTGATGCAGAAAATGAGAACAAAGAGAATGAACGATCAACAAACAGATGTGGATTCAGAAGGGAAAGGAAGTTACCGAAAGGTGGATGCGGTGGCGGGGAGAGACGGATGGCGAGAGAGAAGGGGGAAGGAAGTAGTAAGGAGCGAGAGACAGAGAGATATCAAATTGGTGGGGGGGAGAAAGAGCAGAAGGAATTGAGACTTAAAAGGAGAGCAAAAAATTCAAATCTCCATAGTGGAGAAAGGAATTTCAATTGAGGCAAATACCCATTTCGATGATAACAAAGTTCTCGATGAAGTCGGCAGCCACAGCAAGAACCCACCAAAAGAAGAATAGAGTGCGGGAAGGGAGAACCAACGAAAATACGAAACAAGACTGAATCTGCCAAAATTTACAGCAGCCCAACAACTAGTAAAGGAAATGGAGGAACATTCCTCCCTCAGTCGCTGAACCCACAACTGCAATCGTTAAACCCAATTACCAGGAAAGTGGAAGGGAACGATCTTTCCTTCTTAGATTCAAAGGGAAGAAAAAATCAAGGAAGCCCACAACTCAGAACACTATAGAGCAGATTAGGAAACCATATGTTATCCCTGCTGCTGCGCAAGGAGAAATTGCGAAATGGGTTTGAGCTTAGAGAGATACAGATACAATATCCTTGTCAAAAAAATGAATAAACAAAGAGAAATTGCCAAAATGAGGAACAGATTTAGACAACCTAGGAACAGCTATCAACCACATCCAACACAAATACAGTCATCAAGAGATACAGAATATAAAATATGAAAGAAAAAGACTCCACTTTTGTGGTCTTCCGCAGCTCAAGTTTTTCTAAATGGACAAGAGGATATCAGAAGAAGAACAAAAAACTGTACTTTTGTGTTGTTCCTGAGCATAAATCTGGAAGGTGAATGAAGGAAGAAAGATAGAGTTCATGTCTCTTACTCAAGAAAAGAAAAGTAGTCTCTGCTTCTCTCTTCCTTAGCCTTGGCTTCCTTTGGTGCTGGGATTTGAGGTTCTGCAAATCAGGGGGGCAAAAAGGCAAGCAGAAAAGGCAGGCAAAAGGTGAGGATTAGAGAGACAGAGGAGGTAAACTTGAAAATGGTGAAAAGGGAAGAGATAAGCTGCAGGACCAGCAGCTCACCTACCAAGCTTTTTTAACCACAAGAGAGAGTGAGTTAGTGAGTTAGCCAAGCAAATACCATGATAGAGCAAGAACCCACCTTGAGCCTCTCTAATAAGTGCGAGAAAGAAAGGCAGGAAAAAAAGAGGAACAAAATGGATTCTTTGGGTAAGATGTGAACAAGAAGCAAGAAGATGAGAAATTGAATGACTGGAAAGAAAGGACAAAATGAAGGAGGGAGGGAGGGAGGGTGCTCTTTCTGTTTGGTCTCTCTCCCTCTTTCTTTCTATTTCCCCCTAAAAAGGCAGAAGCTTTGTGGTAAGAAGTTAGAACTTAGATTGGTAAGAGAAGTCAAATCCACAAACTGGAACTGTGTATGAAATTATTATGGACACCATCACAGTCACAGTTTCACACCACACAGTCTCTGATACAGAAATTTTATTTTAATGTTTTGAAAAGAAGGCTTTGAATGAGATGGGAATTTAATTCACTGCTGGTTTCAGGCGGATGCAGATACAGAGGCGACCCTCCCTCCCTCACTGTGCTTAACCAGTAAAAAAAGAAAAAAGAGTGTAGAGAGCAAAATGTTCTTTGTCTTTAATCACTGATAACATTGTAAGACAACGATGGTTTCAAAAAAAAAAAAAAATGATTAATTCAATCTCTGTTAAAGGAGGAAAAAATATGTTTCTTCAGTTACTGGCTTTATTATATTAGGTATGAATTGATAAGGTTAGGAAAGTGATGTTCTTCTAAATTGTAAAATTCAATTCAATTTGAAATGGCATGTAATGAGAAACATAATAAAAACAAATATGTCGTGGGAATCATTGTTTAATTCCGCTAATTGTTAATGGTAACTAGACATGTGTAAGTCATGTTTTACGATTTATGTTCATTTGAATCAATACAAAAAGAGAGCGAGGATCGGATTAACTGAACTTTCTCTTTCTCAAATCCTTGCAAATTTCAAGGTAATAGAGCAGAGCAGCAACTGCGGTAGGATTCTTATACAAGCATATGCAAGTCTGGAACTCAAACCCACCTTCTCGTGGAGGCGTACGTGGTGTTGTGGGATCTGGCTTAACTGGGTCTATTGTTGGACCGAACAGGTGGCGATACAAATAGCATTCGTTTTGCACCATTCAAGATCTCACTGCTCTCATTCGCCCATCACTATGGAAGTGTCTCATTTCAGTTGCACACAACTTGTGAAGGGAATAAGGTCACTGACGATGATATGCTCATCTTCCATGCCATAGTAATCTCCATGAGGCACTATGTCCCAGAGCACACGATGCATCTCGGGACTTCAGGACTCATAAAGTTGTGGAAGACGTCAACCAGAGCCACTACCGTCTCCTCCTGGATAGTCGTGATGAGATGAACAGTCCTCGCATTTGAGATGTCGGTCAAGGTATGAAGTGAATCCTCTCTGTCTGGTGGTTTAGGCGGCTTGTCAAATTCTGTGGAAGCCCTTACATCGTTCGCTGCTCGCGAGACTCTTTCTCAACATTGTTGGTTGAACGCCAGCGATGCGTGCCCTGGGAGCGATTTCGAGCTAGGTTATTTCGAACCAGACTCTGCATACCAATTGATGCACTAACGATTCAATGCATCGATAAAACGATATTCTACTTTACTGTCACTCCTAAAAATGAATATAAACTCTATTAAAATACTCGACTTCTTGTTCAATGAATAAAACTGAGAGCAAATGTACTTATATATAGGACTAATCCCTCAAACTCTTTCCCCTTTAGGCAAGGTAAACCAATCACAAAACAATAAGGTAAAGAATAACTTCCAATACAAGACACCTGAAACAGAAAGGTAAACCAATCACAAAACAATAAGGTAAAGAATAACTTCCAATACAAGACACCTGAAACAGAAAGCACACCTTCTTGGATTTGGGCTAGCCTGTAGGAGGCGAAGAAAGTGGTTGATGTGGGAGCAATTAGAGTAATAGGGTCAGGAAAGGATACTTGGATAGATCAAAGAACCTTGAACCCCTTTTCTGCGAAGTACAAGTATAAGAAGTGGACTTCAAGAATACTTGAAAGTCAAAGAATGGATTGATCCTGGATAAAAGAGATGGAACATTAACCTCATTCAGGAGCCACGTTTCTAATTCATAATTAGAAGCCATCCGAGGGATTTCTATTGGGGAAGGATGCAGAGGATTTCTGGGTGTGTAAACTCACGAGTGCAGTCAATTTTACAGTTAAAAAACCTACTATGTTATCTATAAGGCCAACGCTATCTCCCAATCGATGGGAAACGTGGATAAGTGGAAATGAGTTTGGGGATTACACCTCTCACCGAAACTAAAATTCTTCATTTTGAGGTGCTCTATAGGAATGGGCTAGCAACTAAGGAAATGTTTCTTCATCAAAAGTGCTCCCCAAACTCGGCATGCCCTCTGTGCTAAAATTATAATGAATGTATCTTCCACAGCCTCTTTGCATGCATGCACCCATGTGGTTAGCTTTTGGAACAACATTTCCCCCCTCTCCTCCCAATCCACATCTTTCTTCGATTGGAACTTCTCCGTATAGGAAGTTATCCATCCAAGAAGCCTAATTCATGTTGTCTTCCTCTTCTAGAATATACGGAAGGCGAGGAATGAGTATGTTTACAAAAAATATTGTTCCCGAGCTCCGCAATATCTATTTACATTCCCCAATAAGGATTTCATTGATTGGACTTCTTGTCCAAGGATCCCCCCTCAAACGACCCTCTAATCAGCTTAAGCAAACCCAATCTCATACTTCTCCATCACCAAGCAATCACCCAACGATGATTCACTATGATGGGTCGTTTCTAAACGACTCTCAATCAATGATTACGTTCTGCTTGTTAGTCATCATGGACAAGTGTGTAATAGCAAGTTGATACTTGCGTCAGTTCTACCCTTGTCTAAAGCTAAATCGAAGGCCCTTTTGAAAGATCTCCAATTAGCACAAGAACGTTCTTATGATTGTATTGTCTAATCAAATTGCAAGCATTAGTTCAAACTTTAACTTAAAACCCTTTGAGACGACCATGGAGCAGCCCAGATAGTATCAATGGTCTCAACCATAGATCGAACCCTTAAATTAAGATTAAAATTATTTCTAGGAAGCTTAATACTTGAGTGATGTGAACATTTTTTGGAGAGATATCTCTTCTAAATAACTTATTAATATTCTAGATCTAATTTCTGATCTTTGTAAGTATTGTTTCTTTTGGTGGAATACAAAGATTATCCTACAGTTTTTTTTGTGAAAAGTTTTATCCTACAGTTATAAAAGAGAGAGAGAGAGAGGAAGTAGAGAACAAAAGATGAAAGAAAGAAAGCAAGGCCAGCAAAGTACCACTTGTTTTATCCTCTCAAGAGAATGGAACCTCGTCAGATCTGCCATCTCCTTTACTCAAATATTACACCAAGCATTTAGGCAATGTTCTCTTCCTAACGCTGGTAGAGTCATATAACCAAGTCAGAAACACAATAGACACAGAAGTGAAAGTGAGCCAATGGTAATATGGGATAGCACTTTCACCATCTTGCATTCACTCAAACATGGCGAGGAATGAAGAACGTGGTCCATCCTTCGGTGCAAGAGAATTAGATTACTCCCTGCAGACATGAAAGTTGAAAACCATGACCAGTCAGAAACACAGTAAGCTTATGGGTGGATAACAAGTCAAAGCAGCAATCAAGGTTTTCACTGAATGACACCATCAACTAATTCCTACCCCTTTGATTGAAATGCCCAAAGCAAAAACAAGAAACAAGAAACAACGACATTGACCAATCAGTTGGTACTGAAAGCAACGACATATAACCCAATAGAGGCACCTGACATTGAATTGATTAATCCACTCGATCTGTAATAATCTCAGTTTTTGCAAACATGATGAAGATCCAAATACCAACACAACCGATTCATTTTTCCGAAGTCCAACTCAACACGCCATGGTAAATATAAAACATAGCAAAGATCAAACATAGTGTACTCATCACATTTTCATCAAACTTGCACTTGAAAGGATGGAGCAGCAGGATCGAGTAAGGGTAAATGAGACCTTCAATTTGTCATGTCAACAGCATCAGCAAACAACCGTTGCTACACAGGACAGTTTTAGCAACATTTTGGCAAGAAACTGGATCATGACATGACAATGATATACTTGTTCGCATCCTTCATGGACATGCAATGACCAAAAGAATACAAACCGGCATAACATGGCAACAAAAGAAATCACCTGAAACAATTGCTCACCTTAGGATCATACCCATGAGTATGATCCTCTGATTGATTAATTGACGGAATGCAATTAAAAAAGGAACCCACAGGCCTGAATCTTCTCCGACTCTCACGCAATCATATGGAAATGCGGTTTAGTATTTCTCACCCCCACAGAAATTGTTTAGTAAACAATTCATACATGGAAATATGGATTTTTGGAGATAGCCACATCATACTCATCACCTCTTCCAGGTCACTTCTACTCACTTTAGAGGTCTGACTCAAAGGAGAAGCACCTTACACGAAGGCTGATCTGGACATTTGAGACAGATACCGACCTTTACAAGTTGAACAAGAAGAAAAGGACAGGACAGGGTAACACTTGTGCATACATTTTCAAGCCTAAGCAATTAACATCTCTATTGTGAGAAGCAAATAATTACTAATTGACCACTTGCCAGGGACATCGTTAGAAAATCTCACGCTGATTAAAAGCTTATTGAATCCAGTATCAATGCTTGTAGCAACAAAAGCTTCATAGTGAATCTTTCAGTAAAATTGGACACTACTAAGCAGACCACAACAAGAGAACAGGCATTGAGGAACAGCTCGCAATTCAAGCACAGCCATGCACATACAGTAAAATCTAGCATAGCCAACATATCTGCAATATTACCAATTTTCCAAGGATGAAAACGGGCTGGAAGTTCAATAAGCAAACCTCTAAAAACGGGATAACTTAATCTTAGAGCAGTAACACTTTAAAACAAGTTTTCTTGCATTTCAGGTTTGGTTATAGATGTGCACAGATGATACAGAACGACGAAACTTTATCAAAGTTTTGAACGTAACGCTCTTAGTTCAAGTCCATAACAAAATTGAGGACTCTAAGATCCAGGATTCTATCAAAGCCCTGAAACAGGACCAACGTCATCTCTTAGTACATGTACTAATAAAATTTAATAATCACCTGATCAGCGAACCAGCATTTAGCCAAACTACGGGTAGGCCCAAGCTTCATGCGGAACACATTATTCATGAGTTTCTAACTTTCTACCATGCCTAACCCAATTAATATTGGCCAAAAATGTTCAACTAATCTCCCCAGTTCCTTCTACACCAAGATCAATCAATCGTAAACATCGGAAGTAAGAATTTCATAGAAGAGAGGGGATCCTGTACCATTTAATCAGCCACCCGAACAGGAAATGCTGCATGATCGGCACTTTCTCCAGAACCTCGGCCTTGTACATCTTCAGCATGCCACTATTCACCTTGTTCCAGTTAGGCACCCCACTGATATCATCCAACATAGGCGAGTGCTCGGAAAACGGCCCTTTCTTCACCTTCTTGATAAAGGCAATGCAAGAAAGATACATGAATTCTCGGGAGAAGTTCTCCAAAATGTCGTCATTGTGAATGGATTTCGGCTTCATATACTTATGATCAATCAACTGGGAAGATCCAAAAATAAACGGCAGGAAATGATAATCGTCAAGCCCCCAGACGCCATGAGAACCAGCAGGCTCAAGACAGTAAACCAGCTGAAGCTTCCTCATAAGCTCGAGATACTTGACGAAGACCCTAGCCACCACAGCTTGATAATCCTCTTCCTTGAGAATCCCCATTCTCGCCAAGCAGTACAGCCAGGCAGCGAAATTGGTTTCGTGCCCGGTTCCATAATCAATACGACTGGAATTACCGAAGCTATCCATGAAGTAAGGAACGATCTCGACCATCGCCGTAGTCAGCTCCTCGGGCAAAAACCGGAGCATCATGGATTCACAGGTTTCTTCCAAACGGCCGTGCCAAGTCCGATAAGAGACGTTACCGTATCGAGCCGCCTGTTGAAGAGGAGGTATTTCCTCAATCCACTGAATTAGGGTTTCGAGCGTCGAGACGATCGAACTCACAGTATCCGAGACATGACACGGATCGGAAAGTTTGCGACTGCGGATGGCTTCAGAGAGAGCAACGACGAAACCGATAAAGTTCTTCCCCGATTCAGAGTCATGGAAGCGCCGGATGTCGTCCGGGGACTGGATTTTCTTCGAAGGGGGCTGGAATTCGTAAGGAGGGGAAACGACGGGGACGCTTCGGCGTTGAGGAACGGGAGCGAGCATTATAGCTTGGGACTGGTTCGCCGGAGGAAGGTTGATCGCCGGAGCGCGAATCGGGCGGTAGACTGGCGGAGGGGACACTTCGGACCAGGACCCTTGAGGCGGCGGCGGGAAGCTAGTCGGGCCGCCGCACTTGGCGCAGGTGGTGGATGTGCACTGAGATTGGGAATGTGATGTGGGGGACGTTGGAGGCTCCGGCTGGCTGTGGCCCTGAGGATCTTCCATTTCTGGGGATGGCTCCGATTCAGTGAAGAGGCCGGTGTGAGAACTGCGAAGAAAACGAAGGACGAGGAGGAAGAAGGCCACGGGCGAAGGCGGTTTGTAGTCAGTAGTTTTGGTAAAGGCCTAAAGGTCTGGACCCGCGGGTAGGAGGATGGTGGATTGACCGGCCCAATATTACTGGGCCACAGGCGTTGTGGATTGCGTAAAGCCGCCAGGTAGGATAAACCATTAAACCAGATCAAATGGACCAAGCCTCTAAGTTATGCTGAGATGCTCGCTAACAATGATAGGAGGGAATGAATATTGAATAGGATGGCAATTTTGTTCAAATTATTTTACATTTTAATTTAATTGGGTCGATTATGAAATTCAAATTTATGGTTAATGAGTAGAATTTCATAATTTTATATTTATATTTATTTATTTGGATTGGGTTGGATTTTTAATTCATGTATTTGAGTTTGAAGTTTGAACACATACATATATGTAAATTACGGCTTGATAACTTAACTTAACAGATCTTTAGATTTAGTAATTCAATTTAATTTTTTTTTACATATAAGTGCACAAAATATCAATGGAAAAACACTTTAGTACCTACCAAATTTGTGTATTGCATTCTGATACCTAGAGTTTTTAAGTTTTGCAAATAGGTCCAATTTGTGTGTAGTTATAAAATCTCAAGTAAATGTGTATTCATATCCAATCCATGCTCATTTAGTGTATAGAAGCAATATCCATGCCCTATACAAACCCATCTACAAATCTCCAAACTCATATATACTTCACACATATCCCGCCCATAATCTATGATATTGTTTGGGTTTTGGTAAAATTACCATAGGTAGGTAACTAGTAACTACCATGCGATCATTCATTAGGAGCTTACGTTAGTTCATAACTCCTTATCACCATCTCCTCCTCTTTTATGGGGTAATATCACTAGACCTTTGTACTTTTTTTTTTTTTGACAATAAGCAACATTTTATTCCATTCGAAATCGGGCAAACCATGGTCACATTACAGGAGTGGAGCAATAATATTGACAATTAAAATCCAATCCACTGGTAACGATCCCGCCCTAGCAATACTAGACCTTTGTACTTGTAGTACGAATCTCTAACCACATTTAGTAAATTTGTTTTGAGTTGATTAACCTAGCTAGGAGTACAAGTGGACTCATGACCATTGACTCACTTGTTATTATGGTAATTCATGCATTTTATATAAGCGGGGATGATAAAGGAAGTTCTTTGTTGCCAATTCACATGATTGAAGTTAGGGGAACTTTAGGTAGTGTGGTTCTCTTGTTTGATTATAGTTAACTAACATTAATCATTCGACTAGATAAGGACTAAATTCTTAGACAAGAATGTGACCTTGAGAAGGTCCCCACTATACTACATCCCCAATTAGGGTATATTTGATGTAAGCGGGTGTGTTAGTGTTTGTGAATATAGGGGAAGGATTGTAAAATACATTCTTTGTTTATATTGCGAATCAAACCTTCTTTTATGTGTATAACTATACAAACATTTATAAACTTTTCACTCGACCGATTCCGAAAATTGTTCTTGAATAACTACAGGCAAAAAATGTCATTTCACAACATACAGTTGCAATGGTTTAAAAAATCACGCTTAATCTTACGCTTAGGCGCGCCTAGGTGCAAGGCAAATGGAAAAACGCCTCGCTTAGGGGTTTCGCGCCTAATTAGATATAGGAACACGTCAATGGAATAAGGCGACATATAAGTCTCTCCTAAATATTACTAGATGGAGATAGGAAGTCAATATTAAAGGAGAAAATTTATGTCAACTACAAAATCAATTTTCTATATCAATATTTTTAATAGCTCAAGAAATTTGTGAGCGATTGAGTTATGATTCTATGAATCCGTGAGCTATGTTCTTGTCATTAAGTGTTGAATAAATTATTAATCATTTTAATTGAAGAGAGGAAGTGTAGTAGATTATTATTTCACTCATCGTGTAGTGCGGATAACAATTTTTCTTCTAAACGCCTAGGCACGCTTAGTCTACGTTTATGCGAGCTAGGCGCTAGGCAAAGCATCAACGTCCGCCTAAGGCCTAGCGCCTTTTTGAACTAATTATAGTATGATCGGCACTAACTTCTTACTGGAAAACTGAAAAGAGGAAGCTTGAAGGATGGACTGGGTGGCACGTAGGGCTATAAATAGGGTTGTTAATGAGTCGAGCTATTCGTGAGCGGCTCGGTCTCGAACTCGATAAAAGCTCGTTTGATTAAAAAAAAAGCTCGACTTGTTAATAAACGAGCCGAGCTTGAGCTCTACCTTGTTCGGCTCGTGAAGCTCGTGAACTAGCTCGATTAGGTGGCTCGTTTAATACAACTCATGAACTGTCTCGTTTTGAGCTTATGAGATGTCCCAACATTGTGACTAGAGAGCTAACTCGACTACAGTTTATGAGAAAATCAATCTATATTTTATGAGTTGGTTTGTTAATTATGCATATAATTATTAAATTGTATATATCACCTCATATGGTGTTTAATACATTGAGTATATGTAAGCAAATACATCTCATATATGACATAACATTAGGTAATCATTTGTATCATATATGACATATAAATATTAGGGTATTTATATTATAAATTATCTTAGAGTTGAGCTCGAGCCGAACTTTCGATCTTAACGATGTGTCAAGATTTAATAAATGAGTTGGCTCGTGTTCGACTCGACTCTGCTCGTTAATAAATGAATCGGGCTCGAGCTCGGCTCGTTTATAAACGAGCCGAACATGAACAAGGCAAAGCTCGACTCGGCTCGGCTCATTAACAGCACTAGCTACAAATGAGCCGAGTCGAGTCGAATTTTGACCTACCTTGGGCTCATCTCGTTAATAAACGAGTCGCGCTTGAGCTCGACTTGTTTGCTGAAACATTGGCTTGTATTTGGCTGAAGCTCGACTCGAGCTCAGCTCATTACTAAGCTCAGATCTCTACTCAAGCTTGGCTAATCAATTATCTTGCGAGATCGGACCGAACTATGGTATTATACCATTTAGTTCATAATTTTTAATTATTTATACCATGTTATTTAATAGTAATTAGTATTTAACCAATCTATGATACATAGTTTCTATTTTAAATAATAAATGAAATATATTTGATCAAGCACTCGATGTTTTAAATATCATATATGATGATATATTACCTAAGAACTAATAACAAACTATTAATAGAACCTCATTATCAATCAGCATGGATCCCTTTTTTATATTTTCATCCGCTTTTTGTCATTCTGAAAGCTTCATGAGTCACTGGTTTGATCATGATCTCCATTTTTCTTTTGTTCTTAACTTTTGCTGCAAAAATCTATGTTAATTGACTTTTTAATTCATTTGCACTTGCTTTTAGTACTTGGTACTTGATGTTTTCTAGAGGTGGAACTGTGAGTTCAATAGGAAAATTCAGCTACTAAGTCCCCACTCTTTATTCTCACTTTCGGTATTGCTCCAGTATGATAACATATTTGGTAGGTAGCAGTATTTAAGAAAAAAAATCTATTTTTAATTTTATTTTAAACACAATATTGTGATATAACGATTGAACAACAATTATACTACAAAATATCCTATCATAAACTTATCGCTACAGTCTCCGGTACGATTTGTCCGGACTTTTCTATTTTAGATAGACGATCATTATGTTGTGGAGCCTAGCGTTTGTTAATTTTTGTTATTAGTTCTCAAGAAATCAGGACCACAATTGTCCAATTATTTTATGGGGTATGGAGTATTGACTATTTGAGCATGGGGCGCGCGACATATAACTTCTCGTCCATTCACTCTCACGCATTGGTTACTCAGTCTGCTCCAAAAATGAAATCCCATTGGCCCAAATGCTACGCTCCCATCAAAATTCCAAGACAAAAGCCATGAATTCTCCAACACGACAATTTTACAGAAAATTTGCAAATTTCCCATTCATTGAAAATCTTTTACAAAAAAAAAAAAACGAAAAGAAAACCCCCCCTTGTTTCCCTTTTTCTTCCTTATTTCTACATGTACATTCATGGATAGCACCACCACATAATCAAATATTTAATCACACGCGCGAGAAAAAAAAGGAAAAAAAAAACACTACTTCGCTTTCTCACATTCTCGATCACACCAAGGTCTTACACGTGGAAGTAGTGGGGTCCCACATCGCGGGTAGCAAATACTTGCGCCCGGCCACACCAATCGCATTGTAGCTCGCCCCACTCGCTTTCTCCACCAGGACCGCCCCAGGATACCCCGGGTACGCGCCCTTCCCGAATATCCCGGTACACGCGCTCACCGCCTCCAGCGGCGCCTCCGGCGGGCCCTGGAAGTAGCCGTTGTTGAACGGGTTCGTCACCGTCCCGGCCAGCACCGTCGCCAGGTTGATGATCATCCCGTCCACGCCGACGTCGCCGCTCGGCGCGACGAGCGGAGGCCCCTGGGGCCCGTAAATCGGCTGGTGGAACGGCCACGCGCACTGTCCGGGGCACTGGCTCACCGCGTTCCCAACCCACGCGTACGCGAATTTCCCGCCTGACTTGGCGCTGCCCGAGCCGTGGGTCCCGCAGCGGCTGCAGAACCCGTCGACCGCCACGTCAGCGGAGGTGAGGACCACGTTGATTTGATTTTTCCCGTGTCCCGCTCGCGACGCGAGCGCCGCGAGCTGCGCGTTGGAGAGGCGCTTCCCGAGGGAGCACTTGTCGTCGACGAGCTGGCGGCCGACGAGGAGGTTGCAGGGGCCGCCGCGGTACCTGGCGGTGGTGAGCCACCAGGAGGCGACGGAAGGGGAGGAGGAGGACGATTTGGAGGAGGTGAGGGAGCGGAGGAAGTCGACGACGACGGCGTGCTGGGAGGCGGAGAAGGCGCCGTACCAGATGAGATTGACGGTGGTGTTGCCCTTGAGGAGGGGGCCGTTGTGGTATTTGAGGAGGAGGGGCTGCTCCTGGACCAAGGCGGTGAGCTTTCTGGTGGTGGCGAGGGAAGGTTGGAGTGTGGAGAGGAGGAGGAGGAGGAGGGAGGAGAGGATTGTGAGGTGGCGTGAGGGAGAAGCTGTTGCAGTAGCAGCCATGGTTTCTTTTTGGGGGGGAGAGAGAGAGAGGAGAGTGGGAGATGGATTGAGGAGTGGGAACAGGGGGAGGGGGAGTATTTATATTATTGGGGAAGGAATAAGATTTGAAGTAATTTTTTATTTTAATAGGGATTTTTAGATAAGGGTTGGGGGAAGGGGAATAGTGAGTACAGCTGGCAGGAGGGGTAAAAGGGTCAAATTAAGGGGGGAAGGATTTTGGTTTGACTTGGTTGGGTTGGTGTCAAAGGAAGAAAGGGCGCGCGGGGGTGAGGGGGGCCAAAGGAAAGGGGCAGGGGGGATTCACAATTCACACACTGATGTTGATGATGTGAGTGAGCAAAGGAGAGGAGAGGAGGGAGGGACTACTAAGGTAGGCATTATTATTATGAGTTTAGGGTAGGGGGTCCTAGGGTAGGGTAGGGTAGGGTAGACGTGGCAGGTGGCGTCCGGGGTAAGGAAATCTGCTGCTTTGGTTTATGCATGCAGCTTTGGTTTGTAGGACACGCTAGCACCTAAATGCTTCCGGTTGATGTACAGTACAGGACTAGTGGTTTGATACCTTCGATTGAGGGGATGAGATATTATAAGAATTAGGATGACAATTTTGACATGACCCGTTTTACTTAACTTGTTTGACCTGTTTTGGGCAGGTTATGGGTTGTCTCATCGACCCGATCTGCCCTGACCCACTCTATTCTTGACCCGTTCTTGTCTAAATTACATGAAATCTTAGTCAAATTACTTTGAATTTTCCTTTTATTGCATCATATTTTAGCTATAATAAAGTTGTAAATTAGTGAAAACCTCAATTTCTCCAATAATTTAACTACAATTGTCATAATATTGTTTGTTTTCTTAGTTTTATAATAAAAATAACGAATATTTCTAATGTTTTTCATATAAATTGCATACCCATTGGGTCGACCTGCCCCGACCCGCGACCCGTGATCAATTACCCGACCTGGACCCGCCCTGCTACGGGGCGGGTCTGGGTACCAAGAAACCCGCCCCGGACCTGCCTCATTGCCATTCCTAATAAGAACGTGTGTATTCACGGTTTAAAAGTTTGTGTGAATTTTGAGGTACCGTTTGTTTGTAGGATTTGAATGATGAATTTGTTATCCAAATCTTAAGTGAAATGGAGTTGCCACAAATCTATTGTCAGTTGAGTGATGCGAATTTGTAATTATTTTAATCTCAAACTAATAAAGGTTATTTTATTTATCCACCAGCTTATATTAAACATTAAAATCTAAACTTCCTAATCCTAGCAACGCAGCAGTAAGTAATAGCTGGGGCCTGCTGGACCCCGTAGGCTTAGCCAATCGTATTCGTAGCTCAAAATTGTAGTTAATTACTGATTGCGAGGAGGGTGCAAGGGGGAAACTTCCCAGTTTAGGGTGCAATGATGTAGTGCACTTGGTCACAGGGGGGAAAGGGAAAGGGAAGGGAAGGGAAGTTAAGCCTATCCCATCCTCGATTTTCTCTCCCGAATAAAGTGAAGCTCCCCACTTGTGGCACCTGACAATGGCCGGGGACATTTTTAAATTTTTACACGTTTTTGTTGTACGTCGTGTGTGTCTCGTCTCATATTTACTTCATTTAAAGTTTAATGATGTATGAATTAGCAAGTTTTTTAATATATATATATTTTGCTACCTTGTCTTATTTTTGACAAACCTAGTTTCATTAACGGAGAAACAATTACAGAGTTTTGTGTCTAGGTCCAAGGAAATGACAAATATTTAATCAATGAGCGCAACCGCAAAGAACACGCAAGATTTTTTAATGTGGTATCGTCAGTATGACTCTAGTCTACGGAGAGGATCTCCCTCTCAGGTTTTAGTATTATGTTCTTGTTATCCTTCAACGTAGAGTACAACAGGATATATATAAGTTTGCTAACACAAATCCTAACTACACAATTACACATTAGTAACTATACTAAATATAATCAAGTACCGAAATCTCATCCGTGAAGTTACTGGTGATGGTCCCCATAACTCAGTATGAATAAGATCGAAAGGAGAATCATATTGCGTCTCACTCGCAGTAAAAGAAGACTGAGTAGACTTAGCTTCAATACAACTAATACACTGACGTGAGGTGGATGAAATTTCGGATCTAGTGAGGCAGGCAACAGACTACGACGAAACATATGTAACAAGCGAGCAGTATGAGGATGGCCAAGCCGATAATGTCATAAATCCCAAAGTGAAAGAGACTTGTTTGACTTACAATTCCCAGAATCCAAATCATCAATAGCAAAACTACTCAACTGCCCAGAAACATTATAACAATGGATTCCATCATCACTATTCCCCAACGACAAAGAAGCATCATTATTCACCAAAGACAAACAACTATATGAAAAAGAAACATCTCCACCAACATCTTCACCCAACGCTGCGTCCCGAACTCTCACCAGCGGCCGCTTATACTTGCCCAGGACAGACACCCGTCCATCCTTCCTACCCGTGCCCAGAACCTTCCCCGTGTTTTGATACTGCACAACACAGTAGGTATCATTAAAAGTTACTGAACACCCATCCTTTGTCAACTGCCCCACAGACACCAAACTAGGAACTAACTTAGGAACATACAAACGTATTAGCCAAATGAACATTGTCGTATGCACAGTGCCCAAACCCGAAACAGGGAGTTGAGCCCCATTAGCCACCTGTAATGATCTCATATGGGTAGGACGAATTGAAGAGAAACCCGCAGAAGAATTAGTCATATGTTTAAAGGCGGCAGAATTAATTAACCAACAATGAGGAGTACCTGAGGAATTGCCAGCGACAAATGCGGAATTCAACATGTGAGGAATTGCATCCTGAAGAGCCTCGGTTACCATCTTACGCACATCAGCAGAGGTAAAAGTGGCACTCGTGAAAGTAGAAGTAGGAGCGACAGCTAAAGCAACCCCAAGAGTAGTAACATAAACAATGACATAACTCAGATGAGAGGCATGCTGCAGCCCTCGGCTGATGATTGGGGCGATAACCCCCTTTCTTTGCGAGCACCTTACAATCAATGATGATGTGACCAGACTACTTGCAGTAAATACACATATTCGTTTTCTACAATGTGGCTTCACATGTCCTGCCTCATTGCAAAAGTGATAAATCACCTGACCCGAAGCCCCTTGCTGAAATAGAGGTCAATGAGAGGCACTCTTGCCAACTGCAAAAGATGAATCTCCAGAATTATAATTATCCAACCGAGCTTGAGTTTGAAGTTGGGTCTCTTCCGTTAGAAGCTCGGCAAGGGCCTCTTCCACACTGCTTACTTGATGGTGAAGCAAAGATGCACGCAATGGCTCAAACTCCGGGCAAAGTTTACTGAGGAATTGCATAAAAGGGGAGCGAGAGCGCTCCTTCAAGACATCGACAGACGCATCAGTCGAAACCAGTGAGGAAATAAGCAAATCGTACTCAATCCAACGCGTCATCAATGCTTGATAATAAGTCATAATATCCCTGTCCCCCTGCTGAAATGTGGATAATTCAGTTTCGAGCTCAAATTGACGCGCGACATTAGCCTGAGAATACGTAGCGCGAAGATGTGCCCACATCTCAGAAGCCAATGAGAACTGCCAAAGACTGAGACCCGTGATAACATCAACGGAGACCAGCAACCAATAAATAATATGTGCATTGCCGACATCCCAATCTTCAATGTCCTTTGCAGGAGCATCCGTGCCAGGTTTGGGACGGGTCCCATCCAAAACAGCTAGCAAGCGCTGTCCAGCAATGTAGCTGCGAAACTGAAACTCCCAAAGAGGGTAGTTTGTGCCGTCAAGCTTGGTTGCCAACATATCCACTTTCCCGGGATCCATATTGAGAAGCCAAAAAACACAAAGGCAATCCGCCAAACCCAACAAACAACGTCCACAAGAAATAATCAATCCCCCAACCACAGTAAAAGACAACCAAAGGAATAATAACCTGATGCTGACAAGATGAAGACAAAAAAAAAATCTGCAGAGAAATCACAGCAGGTCGGAGAGAAGATCCAAAGTCAGCAACCAATCCTGATGAAGAAACCAAAGTTGTTGGCACAGAAAACCCACAGCGGCAGCCCTAGCTGACGAAGACGATTAATCCGTAGGCTCTGATACCATGTCAAGAACCAGTTGGTCTCAATGACTTGAGTTGTTGGGAGAGGTTTAATCGTGAATCATATACCACTCGCTAACACAACCCCTCAAACGAAAGCCAGACAACTCATAAGGTCTTTCGTTTGCACATGTGCTGAATACGAGAATAAATGTGCTTCACAAATGGGGTCACCGAGATTCGAACACCAGACCTCTCGGTTACAGAAGGCTCTGATACCACGTCAGTATGACCCTAGTCCACGGAGAGGATCTCCCTCTTAGATTTTAGTATTCTGTTTTCGTTATCCTTCAACGTAGAGTACAACAAGATATATATAAGTTTGCTAACACAAACCCTAACTACATAATACACATTGGTACCTATACTAAATATAATCAACAGGAAAGACAATTAAATCAAATAAGACACAAGGAGAGGCCCAAAACACATAAGCCCCACCACAAACCAGAAAATACACAAGAAAGCTCACAATGGAGGCCCACGTGGAGGAAGGCCAATCCTAACCCTATCTGAAACAAAATCCCACAAAGAGATCGCCACCGCTGCTGAGAAGAACACACTGTCAAGACCAAAAGAAGCCGCCGACCAGAAAAACAGGGGAACTACAAACCTAGCAGAGACGAGCCGTGGATGATGACAAAGCAACACACTCAACAAGGAGACGACCACAGAAAGACTTGGCAGAACCCAGAATCAAAGCATGCAACGATCTCTGAGTGAGGAGTCCCCATCTTCGAATCCAAGAGCCGCATGTGAGCCGATTCACTAAGGAAGACTACTGCATCTTCGGATCATCACGATCTGTTGGATGAAACAAGGAGGTAGATGAAAGATCCAAGGAAAGATGATGAGTTGGAGAAAAATCAACAACCCCCT